ACCAAGTCATTAAACTGACGTGAAGATTATTAATACCAGCTGTAGAGGGCTGAATGGTGGCCCCAAAGACATCAGGGTCTAATCCTATAAACCTGTAAATGTTACTTTATTAGGAAAAGAGCCTTTGCAGACGTGATTAAGTTAAGGATCTTGAGATGAGGAGATAATCCTGGATTATCTGGGTGATCCAAATGCCATCACAAGTGTCCTCAGACAAGAGACGTGGGAGATTCAACACACACTGAGAAGACAGTGTGGAGATGGAAGCAGCAGCTGGAGCCATGTGGCCACAAACCAAGGCTCCCTGCCAGCAGCCACCAGAGGCGAAGAACAGATTCTCCCATGGAGATTCCCAAGGGAGCACGGCCCTGTCAACACCTTGATTTTGGACTTCTGGCCTCTAGAGCTGTGAGAAAGCACCTGTTGTTTTAAGCCACCCAGTTTGTGATAATTTGTTACAGTCATTAAGAAATAAATGCACCAGTGAATAAAATATTTTTGCAAAAGGTGCTTAAATGCAAGACAGAAATGAGGAGTCAGAGTTCAGATATATCTAAGGGCAATGTGTTCCTGTGTATGGAATAAGCATATCTACTATGTTTTCTTTTTTAAAAAATCAAGCTTTCTTTTAAAATTATTTTTAATTGACAAATGATAATTGTGAGATACTGTCTTATGCCAGTCAGAATGGTGATTATTGAAAGGTCAGGGAACAACAGATGCTGGCGAGGATGTGGAGAAATAGGAACACTTTTACACTATTGGTGGGAATGTAAATTAGTTCAGCCACTGTGGAAGACAGTGTGGCAATTCCTCAAGGATCTAGAACCAGAAATACCATTTCACCCAGCAATCTCATTACTGGGTATATACCCAAAGGAATATAAATCATTCTACTATAAAGACAGACACACACACGTATGTTTGCACTATTTACAATAGCAAAGACATAGAACCAACCCAAATGCCCATCAATTATAGGCTGGATAAGGAAAATGTAGGACATATACACCATGCAAATACTATGCAGCCATAAAAAAGGATTGAGATTGTGTTCTTTTCAGGGTCATGGATGGAGCTAGAAGCCATCATCTTCAGCAAACTAACACAGGAACAGGAAACCAAACATCGCATGTTCTAACTCATAAGTGAAAGTTGAACAATGAGAACACATGGACACGAGGGAGGGGAACAGCACACACTGGGGCCTGTTGGGGGTAGGGGTGAGGGGAGGGAGAGCATCAGGACAAATAGCTGATGTATGGAGGGCTTAAAACATAAATGACGGGTAGATAGGTGCAGCAAATCACCATGGCACACGTATACCTATGTAACAAACCAACATGTTCTGTGCATGTATCCTGGAACTTAAAGTAAAAAAAAAAAAAAAAAAAAAATTACATTCTCCCCAGCAGTGTACAATGGTTGCATTTTCTCCATATCCTCACCAGCATTTGTTATTGCTTGTCTTGTGGATATTAGTCCTTTTAACAGGGGTGGGGGAAAAAAAAATCAAATCTTCTTTTTTTTCTTAATTTTTTTTTTTTTTTTTTTGAGACAGAGTCTTACTCTTGTTGCCTAGGCTGGAGAGCAGTGGTCTGATCTCGGCTCTGGGCAACCTCTGCCTCCCAGGTTCAAGCGATTTTCCTGCCTCAGCCTCTCCAGTAGCTGGGATTACAGGTATGCACAACCGTGCCCAGCTAATTTTTGTATTTTTAGTAGAGATAGTGTTTCCCCATGTTGGCCAGGCTGGTCTCGAACTCCTGACCTCAAGTGATCCACCTGCCTCAGCCTTCCAAAGTGCTAGATTACAGGCATGAGCCACTGCACCCAGCCTTTTAATTATTTTTAATTGACAAATGATAATTTTATATATTTATTGGGTACAATGTAATTTTTTGATATATGTATACATTAAAAAAAGATTCAATCAAGTAACACATGCATCACCTCACCAACTTACCATTTTTTTGTGGTAAGAACATTAAAACATCTATTCTTTAAGCAATTTTGAAATATGCAATACATTATTATTAACTGTGGTCACCATGCAGTACAATAGATCACGAAAACGTATTTTTCTAGTCTAACCGAAACTTTGTACACTTTGGTCAACATCTTCCCTTTCCCTACCTCTCCTCTTCCCTGCAGCCTCTGCTTCTACAAGTTCCCTTGCTGAGTTCCCAGACCTAAGTCAATTTTCACATTCCGAGCTCATGGACTGAAGAGAGAGCCAAGTCTCCAGGAAGGTGGAGGCAGCAATAACATGGCAAAGAAATACCATGATGATTCCCCCAGGACTGTCCCAAAGGGACCTACGGCCATTTACTTGGGTTACTATATATTGGGGAGGAGGGAAAACCCAGACTTTGCAAAGACTGTTGGACACAGGGTCTTAATTGACATGAATAACTCGAGATCAGAAATGTCATCTTGTGTGTATCCCTTCCCCATCCCACCTTAGAGCCCTGGCTGAAGTCATATGTTTTATATGTGTACAATCAGCCCCTCGCTTGTCCCCCTTCTACTTAGTGGTCATTTTCTTGGGCCCTGGCAGCTGAAATAACACCTTCTTTGGGTCCATGGTATGTGGGGTAGGAGCTATCACAGGGAAGGCTAAGTAGGAGCCTCTAAAGCTGCCCCCAACCCCCGGACCAAATTAGTAAATCAAAGCAATATTGCATCACAGGGTTTAATGCCTATTAAAGCCTCAAAGGATACAAGGTGGTGGTCCCTCCTATCATGTCTCCATTTGCTCAGCCAGTCTGACGCTTGCAGTCACTGAACTGTAGAATGCCGCAAGCCTAACCGAGCTGCAGTCCTACTGCAGCTGCCGAGCAGAGCAGTATTGTTGCTAAAGCAGATGATGAAAACCTCAGGTACATGAAATGTGGCCACTGATTTGGCAAATGTGCTCTTTTCTATTTTGAAGAGCAGCAGTTTGTATTCATGTGGAACGGACAGCAGCATTAATTGACTGTTTTGCTCCAGGATGTTGTGAACTTTTCCACCCTCTGTCATCATATAGTATGAAGAAACCCAGACAGTCTGGACATCCTGCGGAACATTACAGTGATCCATTACATGGGTGACATCATGCTGATTGGGCAGGACAAACAAGAGGTAGCCAGCATTCGAGAGGTCTTGGTAGGACAGTGGAGATTCAGAGACCTGGCACTTTAGGAAAGCTTTCAGGGGTTCAGTAATCAGAAGTGTGCTGGGATACCTCCTCCAGATTAAAAGATACATTCTTGCACTCACATCTCCTACCACAAAGAAGGAAACACAGTGCCCAGTAGGTCACCTGGCCGAAGCTGTATTCCTAGCATGCAATGTGATGAGCACAGACAGATGAGAAAAACTACAGAGGAAGGAGATGGAGGGAGCTAGCAATGGGGTCTAAGGTTGATTTAAACCCACTGCCAAAAAGAATAGGTCCATCCTAAGTCTCCCACTGCCAAAAAGAATAGGTCCATCCAAGTCTCCCACTGCCAAAAAGAATAGGTCCATCCAAGTCTCCTACTGCCAAAAAGAATAGGTCCATCCTAAGTCTCCCACTGCCAAAAAGAATAGGTCCATCCTAAGTCTGAAACTAGCAAAATAGTGTCTGAGGAGTTCAGAGCACAGACTACAGACAAGAGAATTAAAAATATGCTTGTTTTAAAGGGCTAGTCTTGGAAGCATATAGCTTCTGGGGGAGAAAAAGCAAAGCAAAAAAAAAAAAGGCAATTTGTCAATACAAAAACCACATATATATACTCTTACCTTTTGAACTACAAGTCCCATTTGTAGGACTCTACCCTTTAGATATACCTCCAACAATATGAAATACATATGCACAAGCTTATTCATTGCTCACCACAAAGACTTGCAGTGGGGTGGGCATGAGACAGGAATATTTTCACCTTGCATTCATCTACTCAACTGACCAATTGATGAAGCAAGCTTGGGCTCTTTCCTCTTCTACCACCTGGTTGTACAGAACCCTCCACATGGTCATGGGTGTGAGCCTGAGGCAGGGAGATGGGGCAATCATTGTGGGTGACATAGGGTTTGGGCAACTTGCTCATTGGTTGTTAACTGTAAGATATTACAGACAGCCTAAATGCCCATACATGGAAAAGTGGCTGAATAACATCCACTGAGTGCAGTACTATGCGGCTGTAAGAACGAGGAAGTGCTCTATGATCTGATACAGACTGCAACTAGCACAACTAGCAAATATCCCATGTCTAGGATATAAGTGAAAAAAGCACAGCACAAGAGTATAATATTCTACACTTCAAGTAAAAATGAACATTATACAGCTTAGGCAACATGGGGAGACCCTGTTGCTACAAAAAATTAAAAAGTTAGCCTGGCGTGGTGGCACATCCCTGTGGTTCCAGCTACTCAGGGGACTGAGACAGGAGTGCTTGAGCTCAGGAGGCTGAGGCTGCAGTGGGCTGTGTTCATGCGACTGCACTCCAGCTAGGCAACAGAGCGAGACTTTGTCTCAAAAAATAAAAGTTCATTATATAAGAAAATATACATACATCTCCTCACTTGTTCCAAAGAGTAAATTAGGAGCTGAAATTGGTTACCTACAGGTGTTGGGAGAGAACAGAGGGGAAAGAATGGTAGTGCTGAGAATGGGGTCACAGGATTCAGGGAGAGATACTTTGCTAACCATGTTCATACTTAGAACTATGCTAATGTTGACTCTTAGAGCCACGTTAATGCTTTACAAACTCCCAAGATGAGTGGTTAAAACAATGGGGATGGGAGAAAATTGGAATACTTAAAGTATAAATGAATTTACTACAATTATGTTATGAATGAATAACATAACCATATTGAAGGGGTGGGAGAAAAAAGCACTAGTCAGAGTTACTTTGGAAAACAGTATTTTGATGGTATATTGCAAAGGAAAAGGCAAAATGAGCTAGATACAAATATTGTACTCTAGTTTCCTATCTGTTTTTCATAGGGGAATGCAAGAATGAGACTCCTTCATATTCATATCATAATTTAGCAAATCAGTAAATTTATGGAAGGTGATGAGACTCAGATGTTATTAAAAACATCATAAGGAAAAAAACTATATTTCCAATTCATTTAGTGGAAGTGGATCATCGTAAAGCTCTTTATCCTCATGGTCTTCACGCTGAGTGGGCTGAGGAGGAAGACGAAGGGAGTGGTTGGTCTTGGTGTCTCAGGGGCGGAAGAGGTGGAAGAAAATTTCCATATAAGTGGACCCACACAGTTCAAACCCATGCTGTTCAGGAATTAACTATAATTCAAAATAAAAATTAGAAAACTAAATGTATGTTGAGCAGCTTCCATATCTCAGGCTCTGTTACAGATGCTAGAGGGATACCAGTGAACAGCGTAAGGCATGAGGTCCCTGCTCTCATGGGGCTTACATTAAGTCATAGGTCTCATGCTAATCACTCACCATTTGTAATAAAGACAATGAGAATATTACCCTGTACAGATTGAATTATTCTGTACAGGGTAATATTATTCTATTTTTATAAATAGAATAAAAAATTATTCTATTTTTTGAGATGGAGTCTTGCTCTGTCACCCAGGCTGGAGTGCAACGGCACAATCTTGGCTCACCGCAAACTCCACCTCCTGGGTTCAAGCGATTCTGCTGCCTCAGCCTCCTGAGTAGCTGGGGTTATAGATGCCCACCACCAGACCTGGCTAATTTTTGTATTTTTAGGAGGAATGGAGTTTCAACATGTTGGTCAGGCTGGTCTCAAACTCCTGATCTCGGGATCCACCTGCCTTGGCTTCCCAAAGTGCTGGGGTTACAGGCGTGAGCTACCGCGCCTGGTGGTTTACATAATTTATAGTGATACTCAGCTTCTGTCTTAATGATGTCACAAAAGAAAATGTACAATCAGGGACCAGACATTGTTCACTACATTGCTGAACAGCTCTGGAATTTATATACTCGTTTCCAAAAGCACATAGTTACTAAGTCTTCTTGGGGGGCACAGTCTAATTTCACCTTAATACGTTTCTTCTGAAATCGAACAATGCTGATAAGATTGATGTGTGATAAGCCACATCTGATAATTGCCCTTTATATGTAACTCTAGAAACTTCAAGAACGATCCATATACATTTAATTAAATCTATGACTTGTATCTGAATTGTGATTTCTTTTTTTTTTTTTTTTTGAGACAGAGTCTCGCTCTGTCACCCAGGCTGGAGCGCTGCAGCAGGATCTCAGCTAACTGCAGCCCCTGCCTCCTGAGTTGAAGTGATTCTCCTGCCTCAGCCTCCTGAATAGCTGGGACTACAGGTGCGCACCACTACACCTGGCTAATTTTTGTATTTTTAGTAGAGGAGGGGTTTCACCATGTTGGCCAGGATGGTCTCGATCTGCTGACCTCATGACCCACCTGCCTTGGCCTCTCAAACTCCTGGGATTACAGGCATGAGCCACTGCGTCCCTCCTGAATTGTGATTTCATTTTCGTGATTTAGCTTTACAGTTCTTCAAAATCTACAATTCTATTGATCTTTGACCAGATTAAAAATAGGAACAATGAGAGTTGCCATGGCCATGTGCTCAGCTTGTTTGTTTAAGTTGTGTATGATCGCCTTCCCCTGCATGAAAACTGGGTGAGGGGAAAACCTTGTGGTTCAGTCCTCTGGAGTCCTGATGCTTGTTGGGCTTTTTCTCTTTGCCAGTGTGCTCTGGCATTGGCAAACCAGTCATTCAGAGGGAGCTGAGAAGAGAACAGAATCTGAGAAAAGTAGGCAATGTGCGAGTTTTGCAAGGGTTCAAGAATTTTTACCTCAGCTATGAGGTCAAGTACAATGTTGTGAGTCACTAAGGTGGATATATTAAGTCTCTCAGAATTTTTTCATTCCAAAAAAAGAGCCTAGTTGCAAAGGTGTGGCTTCTGCAATACAGGAAGGCATCCCTGTAGGACGTCAGAATGGGGATAAGTGAGCCATCCATGCCTGCTTTCCTACCGACTGGCCACTTTTCTCCCACCCAAGCTAACTCATTCTACTTAATGAAATATTTGAAAGTTCTAGTTTCCCAAGCAGGAGTACGAGGCTCTGGTTGTTTCTCTGTCTGTATTAGATGACCTCCTACATGTCCGTGACCATTCATGCTCAAGGCACCGTGGTTCAGTTTTCAGCCCAGAGCTGCTGCTCCTGAGTTCCCACAAGAACATTCTATTGCTTATTTAACATTTCCTCATGAATGTCTCAAAGGTATCTTACATTAAACTAGCCTTGTGATCTTTTCTTCCCTGCACCCCAACTTCAGAATTTCGTCCTCTCTCTCCATGACTGGTACCATTATTCATCCACCTGCACACACCAGAAGAAGGGGAGTGATTACTCACTCTCTGCCCCCCACACCCCCCCCGCTTTCTCTTACCACACCTGTATCTAATCAATAGCTGATTGGCTATTGATTCTACCACCTAAATATCTCTCAAACCCATTCGTATTTTCTGCATCTCCATTCTGTCTACCTTCGCCTGAACTACCATTCCCTGCAACACTGTTCTCTATAAGGCCATCCTCTGTCTTCTGAATTATAGCACTAATGTAAACAGTTCTTCCCATATTCCCTCTTACTCCCTCTAATCCAATCACCACATTGTAGTCAAGAGAACTTTTAAGAATTGCTCATATGACTCTATTGTTTAAACTCTTTGATGGTTTCCTATTTTCTTTTATTTTTTATTTTTGTTTTTAAGATGGGGTTTCACCATGTTGGTCAAGCTGGTACTGAACTCCCGACCTCAGGTGATCCACCCGCCTTGGCCTCCAAAGTGCTTGGATTACAGGTGTGAGCCACCACGCCCGGCCTGGTTTCCTATTTTCTTATGCTAAAGACACAAATTCTTAACATGACCTAAAACAAGCTGCATAATCTGGCTTTTCAGCCTCATCTCCTGCTACACACTACTCACTTTATTCACCATAACACATCAGCCTTTCTTTTACAATTTGCAGTGAGCCTTGCTCATGTCAGCCTGGCCTTTGCATATGCTGTTTCCCTTGCCTGGATATCCAGATATCCTTCAGAAGATACTTCTTATTACTCCCTAAAGGAGATCATCTCCAAACCCTCAACTCAGTTCCCATGGGTTACTCTTCCAGTACCTTAGACCTCTCTCGTTCCTAATATTTACCATAATTCAAATGAAATAATGGTATAGTTATTTCACATTTGTCTTTCACTCTTGGATATAAGCCTATTAGGGTAGGGACCACATCTATCAGCTCACCACGAATCATTAGCTGCCATGGTGCTGGGCACACAGCAGTAACTTAATATTTAATATTAATAAGGTAATAGTGCTGGAATCAGGCACTATTTTAAGCTCTTCATGTGTAGAAACTCATTGAATCCTGGTAACAAACCTAAAATGTAGGTATTATTATTATTCTCGTTTTACAGATGTGAAACAGGCACAGAGAGGTGAAGTAAGCTGCAAAGACCACACAGTGAAAAATGGAACTTGAACCCAGCAGTGCAGATCCAAAGCCCATACTTTTATTTTACTGCCTCTACGTTTATTGAAAGCATGCCTATTTAAATGTTCACCAAAGTGAATTACTCAGAGAATTGCTCATAAACAAATTCATAATTATAGAGCATCTCTACTGCAAAGTTTAATGTATTTAACTATGGAGAAGTTTTTTTAAGTTTCCAGTACTGACACCATCTATACTGGAAACTTAAAAAAAAAAGATCTTTGCCAAGCCCGTAACAGATAACCTGTCCAAAGGTGAATACTATTAGTGATTCAAATAGGTTGAAATAATATTCAAGGCCTTTGTACCTCTTAGACTCATAAACATTTGGTTGCTTGATATGGTTAAAAGTATATATATATAAGGCCTTTCTGTGCTGCATTAACCAATCTAAAAAGAACAAACAAAATGAACACAGGTCCCATGGTTCATTACTCCTAGCTTAAATGTTAAACAATAGATAAATCAATTACATTTTAAACTGTTGCCTTGACCACTGTGGGCTGTCATTTTATTGTGGCTTTGGGAAGAGCAAAAATGCACAGAACAGAACATTGGGCAACTTCCCCTGCCCATGGTTGAGCTCTATTACTGAGATGAGATGCTGTCATCTGCGTTTTCATTTCCATATTTAATAACGAAAGTAGCACTTGCCAACTGTTATAAAGTTGTTCTGAGTAGTGTGTGATGATGTTTGTAAAGTGTGTAGTGCTAGAAGAAACGTACTAATAAATACCAAAGCACAAACCACTTAAATAGTGCACTATTTGATGGGAAGTAGATGAGTCAAGATGACTCAGTCATTATTAATCTAATGCCCTAAAATATGAATAAGGGATTAATCCCAAGATGTTTCACATATTCTTAGAATACCAGAATTTTAAATTCTTGTATATTTTAAGACTATACCTATATGATTTTTGAAGCAATACTGAGAAGAGAAAAAAACAGTTAATTCCAATGATAGAGGACTCAAATGGGCAAAGATTTCTTAATGATATAGACTGGGAAACTGGAATACATCCAATTCGGGCTTCCCATTAAACCCATGGTGAATGGGTGACGATTTATCCTTCCGTAGGGGAGTTGCTGGGAATTTCCTCCGCATGCTATTCTGCTAGTTGGCTGTTTGCACATGGGGGATTCACAAATGCTTTCTGGTAAAAGAAGTGTCCCTCCAGCTATGGATGGACCGGTTCAGCCTAGGCTAGCTTGCCCATGGAGGAGAGTTCTTAGGCTGGCAAAATACTGGAGTTTGTGAGGGTCTTTAGGGTTGTCAATTCACAACTAAACTTATGTGGGACACTATTATTTGGACTGATTGTCAACTTTAGCTTTTTTTTCCTTAAAACAAAATCAACTTTAACTCACATAAAAAAATTTTTTTTTGTATTCTACCTTAATGACAATCGACATTTCAAAATAAATTTTGCAAATAGAAAGAAATCACAGGAAAGGTAAATTTAGAATATGTTTCAAACTACTTAAGCACTCTATCCTCCCAGGAACTTCATGGCTGAAGATACATTCCTCCTGGGTGGCACCATCTTCTGTGAATGCCAGGTTAGTGATTCCAGCAGGCTGTTCCTGGATGGACTCTGATACCTGGATTGCACATGAAAACTTGGTGCGTATGTCTAGACTGCTGTTTCGTCTCATTTATTTTGTAGATAAACTGTGCTGCTCCACGGCAGTAACATCAATCAATATGTCTTTTGTTTCGTGGCGCTTCCTAGGGATTTAAATTCAGACCATATCATACAATACAATAAAGGTTTATTTACAGCACATTCGCTTCATTTGACATTCCTGTACCGGACTACCCTGGCAATCGGCTAAAGATTTGTCAGCAACTTTGCTGCTGGGATTTTTCTCATTTGGTTCAGTTTACTACAGCATATTGTAAGTGATGCAGATGGATTTCTTTTGTAGCATGTGAACGTGACAACTGTGTTGGTTTGGGTCCATCATTAATCAAAA